TGGTTATATAACCACAGTAGTAATCAGGGTGGCCGCTGGATTCTAACCCTAACCTCCGCAACAAGTGGCCAACGCGCTGCCGCTGCCGCCCATTGATGACAACGCTGCTGCGGATGATGCTCCTCCTCCTGCTGCTGCTGTTGCTGTTGCTGCTTCTGATGACATTTTTGGTATTGATAATGATGACGATGATAACAATCCTGCCGCTGCTGCTTTTGATGATGGTAGGAATAATTGCAGTCTCCTATATTTATTCTTTGGGCACCGCAGTTTTTTTCCCCAATGGCAAAATGATCGTTTCAGAAATTGACCAAACATCCCAATGCAGAACCCGACTGAAAAAAAAACCGTTTTAAGACTCATTGAGGTTTCCTGATTAAAGGGTATAATTTTTATGCATGTTACAAAGCTATCACTTCATTTTCATAGTTTGCAAAACCGATTTAGTCTGTGCATCAATGGAGGAATAGCAAACCTTTACTAACCCTCTCCCGAAGCTCTCTCGTCGCAGCTGGGAAACCTCCACATTGGCATTTAGCTCCTGAACATATTTATGCTGTCTTCTTGCTCAAGAATGTAATTACATCAGCATCCAGACATGCAAGTGACAACCAAACATTTCATCAATGAATATCACAAGAATTGGTGGAATATTTAAATTTCCTAATGTTTCAAAATTGCATCCTTTTAATGTGTATCATCGTGTGTAAGTCTGCATGTTAATCTTAAAACACTAGTTGGAAGATATAAATTAGTCTGGCATGGAATCATTCATTACCACGATTCCGGCACTGATTTACAAGTTATGTACTCACTTCAATATCTTGGAAACTTACTAAATAATGTAAAATGTTAGCCGTTGTCTTCAATAAAATCTGAGGACTTTATTTACACGTTCATGAATGGTTCGTGCGAACAAAACAAACATTTTTAATAATCTAATTTCATGTCATTTTGAAATATATTTATCGCACGGACAGTTTCATGGGCTGCTTGGAAATATTAACTTTTTTTATTTTACCAGGTAAGCCCCACTGACCTACAGTGAGGGAAAAAAGTATTTGATCCCCTGCTGATTTTGTACGTTTGCCCACTGACAAAGAAATGATCAGTCTATAAGTTTAATGGTAGGTTTATTTGAACAGTGAGAGAGAATAATAACAACAAAATCCATAAAAACGCATGTCAAAAATGTTATAAATTGATTTGCATTTTAATGAGGGAAATAAGCATTTGACCCCTCTGCAAAACATGTCTTAGTACTTGGTGGCAAAACCCTTGTTGGCAATCACAGAGGTCAGACGTTTCTTGTAGTTGGCCACCAGTTTTGCACACATCTCAGGAGGGATTTTGTCCCACTCCTCTTTGCAGATCTTCTCCAAGTCATTAAGGTTTCGAGGCTGACGTTTGGCACTCGAACCTTCAGCTCCCTCCACAGAATTTCTATGGGATTAAGGTCTGGAGACTGTCTAGGCCACTCCAGGACCTTAATGTGCTTCTTCTTGAGCCACTCCTTTGTTGCCTTGGCCGTGTGATTTGGGTCGTCATGCTGGAATACCCATCCACGACCCATTTTCAATGCCCTGACTGAGGGAAGGAGGTTCTCACCCAAGATTTGATGGTACATAGCCCCGTCCATCATCCCTTTGATGCGGTAAAGTTGTCCTGTGCCCTTAGCAGAAAAACACCCCCAAAGAATAATGTTTGCACCTCCATATTTGACGGTGGGGATGGTGTTCTTGGGGTCATAGGCAGTATTTCTCCTCCTCCAAACACGACGAGTTGAGTTGATGCCAAAGACCTCCATTTTGGTCTCATCTGTCCACAACACTTTCACACAGTTGTCCTCTGAATCATTCAGATGTTCATTGGCAAACTTCAGACGGGCATGTATATGTGAACTGCCTCATCAAGACTCTATACCATAGAGCCCAATGCATTTCCGACCAGGAACACATTACCAGTGAACTCAAGCACGTACACCAGGCTCTCAGGGCTAATGGCTACTCCGACTACACAATCCGCAAAGCCATCACTCCAGTCATGAAGAAGGATCCTCTTGTGGAGCCACTCAAAACCATCACCTTACCCTACATTGCAGGGGTCACTAAAAAGATCTCCAAAATCCTGAATAAACACAAGATCCAGGTCCGATTTAACACAGTACACAAAATCCGTGATTTAGTTCCATCTGTAAAAGATGCTCTTCCAGACATACAGTACCCGGGCGTTTACAAACTAAAGTGCCTCTGTGGTAGTAGCTACATTGGAGAAACCAAAATACATATCTCGGACCGCATCCGCGAACATAAAGCAGACTTGAAACACGGTAAGACGAACTCCTCTGCCGTGGCAGATCACTGTTACAATTCAGTGGGCTCACATGACATTGACTTCTCCAAGACGGAGGTTCTTTGCAAACCAACTGGCTACCATGAGAGATTCGTTCATGAGGCCATTCACATATACAAGCACAGAGACAATTTCAACCGAGAAGATGGATTCAGGCTTAGTAACCACTGGAAAGATGTGTTAAATCATTTCTGTTCTTAATTAATTGTAATTTTACGATGACCTTCAGACCGCAGCTCTTTCGCCAGCATTGCCTCTTAATACCTCTCACACCACGGTTAATGGTATGGTTTACAACATGGAGTATACTAGGGCTTCGCAGCTGTCTCTCTCCCCCTCCTCTGTTCCGACCATGGACGAACTCGTCCGTCTGAACGGGGCCCGTAGCTATCCGTGGTACGGAAATTTGAGGGTAAGAATCCACCCATTTTTTCGCCATATAGCATTGTGATATATAACGACTTATGGTTGGTAGCTTAGCTGATTGGAGAATATAGAGTTTATTGATAACATGAAGGTAATTTATATTTTAGTTTTTATTGGTTCACTATATAGTACTGTGAATAGCTCAGATGTGTAGTCATTTCTGTGACCAGTCACTAGCAAATCACCCAGTTATTTCAATGCTAATTTCGCCTAGTTATTTCAATGCTAAATTCTCCTGTTTGATTTGTACTAAGTGCCTCGGTGAATGTGTATGCTCTGACTTTAACGTAACTATTTCTGTAGCAGTTACAAGCGAATCACTCAACCTTTTCAATGCTAAATTCTATGCTAATCCCATTATCAAGGGTGCCTCTGCGGATGTGTATGCCTTAATTTAGCTATTTCAATGCTAAATTCTATGCTAATTCCTTTTAACAATGGGTGCCTCTGCGGATGTGTATGCTTTAACTTTTAACATAGCTATTTCTGTGACCAGTCACAAGCTAATCATTCAGCCATTTCAATGCTAAATTTTATGCTAATTCCTTCGTCAAGGCTCTTTGTTCCTCTCACACAGCTTAAAAGCCGTGATCTGAACGTGGCTCTCTCACTCCAGCGCTGTCCTACCAGACAGTCTCGCTCCCTTCACCTGATGAAGGCCGCTTGTGTTGTGGCCGAAACGTCGTGAGAATATTATTGTGTTATTTTATTTTATCAATTTATTATTTTATTCTCATTCTACGTGACTTTACCGAAAGAACCAAAGAACATGTATATGTGCTTTCTTGAGCAGGGGGACCTTGCGGGCGCTGCAGGATTTCAGTCCTTCACAGCGTAGTGTGTTACCAATTGTTTTCGTGGTGACTATGGTCCCAGCTGCCTTGAGATCATTGACAATATCCTCCCTTGTAGTTCTGGGCTGATGCCTCACCGTTCTCATGATCATTGCAACTCCACGAGGTGAGATCTTGCATGGAGCCCCAGGCCGAGGAAGATTGACAGTTCTTTTGTGTTTCTTCCATTTGCAAATAATCGCACCAACTGTTGTCACCTTCTCACCAAGCTGCTTGGCAATGGTCTTGTAGCCAATTCCAGCCTTGTGTAGGTCTACAATCTTGTCCCTGACATCCTTGGAGAGCTTTTTGGTCTTGGTCATGGTGGAGAGTTTGGAATCTGATTGATTGCTTCTGTGGACAGGTGTCTTTTATACAGGTAACAAGCTGAGATTATGAACTATGAAATATTAGGAGCACTCCCTTTAAGAGTGTGCTCCTAATCTCAGCTCGTTACCTGTATAAAAGACACCTGGGAGCCAGAATTCTTTCTGATTGAGAGGTGGTCAAATATTTATTTCCCTCATTAAAATGCAAATCAATTTATAACATTTTTGACATGCGTTTTTCTGGATTTTGTTGTTATTCTCTCTCTCACTGTTCAAATTAACCTACCATTCAAATTATAGACTGATCATTTCTTTGTCCGTGGGCAAACGTACAAAATCAGCAGGGGATCAAATATTTTTTTCCCTCACTGTATATACCTCTTTTTCAGAAGTGATCTGGCCATGAATGATAGCTGAACGAAGTGTCTTATCACGTGGACATTAATAGCAGCCAACTACTCGAAACGCATGTTTCTAAATGTGGAGGGAAAAAACCGGAGGACCCGGAGAAAAATCCACGCGACCACGGGGAGGACACGCAAACTCAAAATATAGAGCAAGCGTCAGGGTTGGGATCGAACCCACCACCTCCTGTATACCAGGCGAGGTAGTTAACATCTCCTAGCCACCGTGGTGCCCCAAATGCACTGAGAGACAGAAAAAGAAACGCACGGATCAGAGAAGAAACTCAATCGGAGACATCTTATTGACAATCGGTGAGAAATGTAAACGGGCTTTGGCAGGAAACATCGCTAGACTGGGGGGGTGGGGGGGGGGATATGTCGACGGACGAGGCTGGTGACGAAACGGGATCCAACGGAAAGAACGTGCACAGGAGGCCGACCGCCCGGGGATTTAGCGATGAGGTCATTTTTTTCTGCAGACGTGAGAGTAATGGTATAGCGGGCGCTGGCCCACGAGGTGTTTGAAGGTTTTGGGGGAGGCCTTCGTTCAGCAGCGGATGGGCAATGGCTGATGGCAGTGTTGAGAACAGTTTGTGAAAACAAAAGCTGTCGAATAACTTAATTTCACGCACTTATCAAGCGTATTTTTGGCACAGGCAGTTGACGGCCTGCTGTGAAATGGAGTATTCAAGATCCACACTGCTTTAGATGGTGAGCATGGTAATTTATTGCCGAAGTGAATGCGATACTCGGCCTCGAAGCTTCTTGCGATAATGTCAACAAAATCCTGTGAATTGTGTTCAAATGAGCAAAGTAATAATTTAAATATTGAATGAAGCAGTTTTAGTTTGGCCATGCAAAGGAAAATTATGCTTGGCATGAAATGTAATACTTTAAGAGTGTTTGTATTGGCTGTTTACTATCCGATGAAGCCATAAAAAAAAATCGCCACCACAAAGTGTGTGATACAGAACTTTTGCACGGGCAAAAGTGGTAAAAAAATGTACTCTGCAAGATGTATCACTTTCATTTTCTAAATAATTTTCCTGCACAGACACATTCTTAGGTTCCCTAAAGAGCTTTGTTTATTGTTTCAATAACCTTGAAAATTCCCATATTAACCAAACTAAATGGCCTAGGTTTTCACGGTATGATTTCTATGCAATTTCCCCTTTCTCGTTGAGCGTGCAAAGGCTTGCCTCATGCAATTCCGAGTATATGCTCTGCTGGAAATTCGGTAATTGAGATGCACTGACTGAATAAAGTGTCACTTTCTCAGCAAAAGGGCTCAATAGAGTAAGAAAATCTCCACATTTGCCTGTGGTTTCGACAGCATGGCCAGACAGGAAAGCTACACCAATGCATTAAAGGATTATTAATCTCCAGCTGTGCTCGAGGTGACGACCTTAGCAGGATGTCCTGCACATGGAAGATCCATCTCCTTGCTGTGAGGGTGGCTCCGTCATCTGCCCTTCATCTCAAGCTCCACGTAATGCCACGTCACGTTACCCGGGCCCCATGCATATTTGGACACCACTTGTTATCTGAGCCCCGGCTCGTACAAAACTGTCCTCCAGTGTGACCGTTTGCACACAAAGCTGCATTGTGAAGTCTCTTTGTTTTGACAGGCGGTCAGCATGGCTTGCCGTGGCTGGTTTGTAAGGGGGTCATTTACCAGTTTTCCGATAGTTTGCATAAGTGAAGTTTTATTTGATTCAAAATTGTTCAGAAAATTTGTGTGACATTTTCAGAGTTTATGCCCCCTTGCAAATAACTTAACCTACCCACGACCGAGATATATATGTGTATATATTTTAAATTTATACGTCGATGTTATTTTTGTGAATCACTACATTTAGGTTGCAGCGAATGAGAAGTAAGTTTAAAATAACAATCATGTGATGAATTCCATCCATTTACGGACATTTATTATCAGGAAGCTTGTCATGAAAGCCTACTTAGGATAATGGGTAGTTACATAATTTTAACCAATAAAATGTTTCGAATTTTTATTCGAATTTGTTTTTTTTAGTTATCGACTACTTTTTTATGGGAACACAGAGATTGGTTTAATTTTTGTTATGGCGGCCACCAGGTGATTTGTTTGATGTCCGGCTACTCATATTAATGACTCTATCATATCATTTTCATGAACAGGCTGTCAAAGTATTAATTTCACAGCCAAAAAGTCCAAAATGTTATTCGAACCCAAAAGTATAATTAATAATGACCTCTATTTACTCAGGAAAGCCTTGGTGAGTCTGAAGACCTTCATGTTGGTTCTGTATGGGGATACTTGGCCAATTCCATGAATGAGAGGTTATACATAAATTCCCCCAATTATTTGAAAGATAATTAACTAATTGAGATAATGCATGTGATTCCCAAAACCCTACCTCAGATCACACTGTACTTGCAGTCCTGACGCCACGAGGCTCTGTTATGCTAAACCATGCCTGAACACGGTATGTATGCTTCTCTACACCCACCTGAATTCCCCGTGAATTCAGCTGCTCTGTCTGTTTTAGTAAATGCCTGCCAAGCTATGCTAAAGAAAAAGGCCACTTCTAAACTTACATGGCTTGAATACAAATATTTCCACTCTCCTGCTCTGTGAAATGAATGAGCAGTTTGTGATAATTGAAATAACATTATTAATCCATAATATGGTTTGTTTTTGTTATAGACATTTATATTTCTGGTCTAGAGCAATAAAGCAGTGTTAAGGAAAGTTAGTCACGTGCCCTTCATCTTTAGAATTTGTAGTAATGGTAATTTTCCATATCACTTCGTGTTATGACAGTGCTTTGTGGGAGTTAGTAAGTCACCAAATCATATGTTAAATAATGCTTTGACAACATCTGCATTTTGATTGGACTTGGCCAAGGAGGGTGAACACTGGCAGTCTTATTTATGTCCATCGCTGCGTCTTTCGAGTGGCAAAACGTCCAATGTTTGGTGACCTCCAGTCAGTCTTCTACTAGAATTGTCTTAGAGTGTTCCCCCCATCACCATCCTTTGTAGCTGGTGACCAACCATCCTGATAGCGTAATTCGTAATATTTTAATTAGTGGTGGGAACTGGCAGAATATATTATTATTCAGCCTTTTTTATTAGGAAAGGCACTTTTTTTTCTTGAGGGTGTTGTCAATGTTTTCACAGTAGGGGGCAATGTTGCTACGTAAAATTTAAATTAAGTAATTTGAAGGTATTTTTTTCAGAATTGGAATGTATTGGCCAATACAGGTGTCAGTCGGTTCACAAGTAAAAGGAAATGTAATTAATCGGAATGAATGGCTGTTCCCAATTAATTTAGTACAAATAATTAGGGATGTGTTTCGGACACATCATTCCAACTCGACTCATAACCTAAAAATGTATACCTATATCAATTATCACGAAACAAAAATAACAGTGAAGGACGTGCATATTAAAACGATTGAAAGTAATTCATTGAAAACAAAAAAAAAACAATTCACCATTTCGGGTAATTCGCCAAAAGAAATGCACGTTGGAATGACTGGAAAGGCGACGTGGAGGGCGTTGCTGTTGCATTGTGGGTGATACCGTGACGCCGTCGTGGATGGATGACGCAGCCTCCCGGGTGGCTCTTGATGTTCTTGTGGCGCGTGAAGTTTCGTTCATCGAGCAGTGTCCATAATTTGTCAATTGAGTTGACGCGAAATTTCGCAAAACTGAACTTTCACAATTCGAGGTTCACCCGTGCTAGTCGCGCTGTTGTATGGAAGCCCTTGCAGGACGGGGGGGAGACCATACCAGCGGCGCCTCACAAAAAGAAACCCGAGTCGGGAATCGAATCTCGGGTCTAGAGACTCGAGGCCCTTCTTGCGACGAGACACGAAGTGTTTCCACTGCGCCGCCACGCCGCCTTGTTGGAGAATTAGCTGTTGCGGCAAATTGCATGCGAGTCTGAAAGCCCGTTCCACAGGTGCCACTTTGAGTGGCTTATTGTGCTGGCACAGTGGTTGCATTTAATTAGGGAGCTGCCAAGAGGGGCCCTAACCGCTGAATGTCTGTGGACCACTTACCCAAGCACCCCAGCCTTCCAGCGAGCCCTAATAACTTCAGCACTGCTGCGTGGTGCTCACGTGCGACATGCTCTGAGCATGACGTCACACATACCATCACAGTGAGGCTCTTCAAAGCCACTTTGTTCAATGCATTTTCCTTTTAACTGCCAATGCAGTCTACACTGTGCTGCTCAACCTATAACCTAAATTCATTCCGACGTCTCTACTTAAAAGAAATGTTTACAGATGCGATCACTTTTGGCCGTCCTGAGCATATGTAGTTAAGTAACATAAATAAACGAGCAGCGAGATCTGCTTTGTTGTTGCACATTCACAACTGCGTATAACACTCAGAGTTGTAGATTGATTTTCTGCGATACCATCTGCAAGGTGTTATTTTTAACATCTCATTTCCGTTTTTATGAAGACTACCTTTGGTGTAGATTTCATCAGTGGAAAGGTATTCTGACGATCAGCAGGCTCGTCAATGAACTATTGTTTCAGAGGCTCGGCTTAAATTCATACAGATGCTTGGTAACCCTCTCCGAAGTTTCTCGTGCGGTAGATGCGCTGAAGAATGGCCAGTGGCCTGTGCCTTAATCTTCTGCGAGGTTTCAGACCGAAGGCTGCGCTAGTCCGAGGATGTGGCCCTGGGGCCCAAAAGATCCGGCATTCTATCTTACAAATGAGACCATCCTGGACACATCAACTTGAAACTTGGTATTCGTACACAAGACATTTAACATCTCCTATTGTGAGCAAACATGCATTACTGCTTTGTTTTTTTTCCACGCAAAACCACCGGAACAGTGCAGAGAATTTCAGGGATGTAGGGTTAATGATGCAGTTGGTGAGTTGTAATTTAATTTGTGCCTGTGCAATGCTGTCAATGGAGTCTCTTAGTTTTGTGTTTGTCCTCTAAGGTAGATATTTCAGCACGTTAAGTACTTTGTAGAAAGGTGCTTTTTAAACGTAATTTATTAATAATTATGTTCGACACATCCATCTGCAGGAGTGGGACAATGTGTGCTTGTGCCATAACTCACGTCCCGTATTTTAAGTTCCCCCCTTAACTCATTCAAAGGGAACTCGTGTTAATGGGTTCCTGTGGGCTCATGCTGTCCTCCTTTGCAGAAGAATATATCTCAATTCCCGTTCACTAAGCTATAAATTAGACGTTAAATCTTTTGCTGTACTTTGCATTGCCCGTTGAGCGGACGTATATTAATATCCTGAAAAAATGTAGCTCATCGTAATCCATCTCCAGGGACCACGTTAGCTGCGAGTGCTTTACGCACCTTTCCTGACGACAACGTAAAGCTGTTGTGTCCAAATAACTCTGCCATTTGTCAAGCTGGTGGAACATCATAATGTCTGCTTTTGTAAAAAAAAAATCGGCTCTATGTTTTTCATATATTTTTTTTTGCGCTGGATACACAGTATGCGTACACACAGAGAGCATGCCAGCCCCAGCACACAGCTGGTTGTTTATTTAAAGAGCCGCAGGCAACAGATATTTAAAATGCACCTTAATTTAATTGATGTCTCGCCATTAAAGCCAGTGGATGTGCTGTCGAGTCAGGATCCCATTGCTGACGTTGCGTCCGACCCGTGGATGAAAGACGCATTGAAGGCAGCAGACGGCTTGTTTTGAAACTCGCAGATTTATTGTCTGTGCGGATTCTAGGTGTTTTTGAAGCGTTAATGGAATTTCCAAGGTCATTTTCCATGACATATGCCACCAAGTCCGCAGGCCGTTTAATGTCGGTACCTCCAGAGACATTTGGGCTGTTGCCAGTGGCATCTCAGCCCCCCCTCTCCCGAGTAAAAAAATATTATTGCTGAAACTTGACCCAGCAGGGGGTAGCTGCTGCTTGGCAGACGTGCTGGAATTTTGCAACTTAAATTTTAGCGCGTTTACGCGGGGCGGGAACACACTGGTGGCACTGTGGAAGCCCGCCCCCCGCGGCCGTTCCGTTGAAGCGATGCGTTGCCGAGCGCCGTCGTGTCCCTCCCGAGCGACGGTTCGCTTTGTTTACCGCCCCAACGTGCGCGGCCTGCCCCTCCGTGAACCCGAACGCCGTTTGACGCCCGCGCGCGACACAAGGGTCGGATTGTCCGCGCAAGCGTTGCCCGGGGTTTCCGCGGCACATGCGGAGAATGGCCCTGCGGCGGTCGGTGGAATAAATTTGTGTGTGAAGTGTAAAAAAGCAAAAGGGGTCTCCTCTCGGCTCCTGTGTTGCCTGTTGCATTCTTGGGCAGCTTAGGCGTGCGCTCAAGTTCACGTTTCGGTGTCCTTTTATCTGCCCAGGTGAGAGCTCCGTGAAGTTCTTTGACAAGCCCTACCCAGGTAATTGTTGTTACTCTGGGACACTGTGTTACGTGACAATTTAGCTGCAGGTAAAATTTATAATTTGAAGTTTGAACAATGACACGGACACAAATTGGCCTAAACTTGCAAGTAATGTGACAGGGTCTTTAAAGCAGACGTTTATATTAATATTCTTCCGAGGACATTACTTCAGTGGCTGTTGGCAAGGTTAATCACTATCAAAACGTATAATATTTTCAACGACTGCCAGAAAGTTCTCGGTGCAGCACTTGGATTTCATGAATGCATTTGTTATGACCTATAAGTATTACCCCTTTATTTGTATATGTTTCCTGTGGGTACTCCAGTATAATCCCATATGAAAAACATAATTTAAAATAAGATTGTAAATGTTGTGGCTTTGCTCTCTAACACACTGATGTGCTGTACTAGTGACGAATTGGCACGTTCTGTTTAGGTGACAACCCTTACTAGTTGGCTGTGTAGGGTTGTGGCGGGTTTTAACGACACATTTATACATTTACGCGATCTAACCCCAAAAGAACTCTTACGGAAAATATGATGAGCCAAACAAAGCAGGGTAGGATCCACCAGAAAATGTATTGCATCTTACTAAGGCTTTCCTGCATAAATAGATGACATTATTGCCATTTTGGTGAAAATGTTGTTTGGAAATTAGTTTGGCGAGTGGCCCACTGAATTAACATTGTGAATAGCCAGTTGAGAAAAAATGCAGCACACTTAGATCTCGCTTAGTGCTCAGGATGCATTCGTGGAGAAGTGAGCATGAATCAAATCGGCGCTTAAAGGGGTCATTATACCATTGTATCTATGGGGATGCGTTCCCGACAGCGTTATTACTTATGTATGAGCAATATATGAAGGTTTCATTGGGGTGCTAATAATACAGATGGTTAACATTTTAGAAATAACAATAATTGATTTTAAAAACATCAGCCAATGTTATGTACCGTACTGTACTCATGAGTGCATCCTCCTGGCACTCGCCCGCCTCGACCCGCCTCATCACTTGCATTTTAACATCCAAAGAAATACTTTCCCTTGACACTTTGGTGATGTTTCCAGCACTAACACTTGCGGGGACTTTAACCAGACATTAGGGATCTAAAATTCCCCCACATGAACACACAGAGATAAGGCCGAGAGAACAAGGTGGAGTAAACGCACGTCGGTGGGTGGATTTATTTTAAATAATTAATAACGAGATATATTTTTTTATTCTTAAATGAGTCCAAGAGAGAGAGAGACCAAGGCGGATTAAACACACGTCGATTGGTGGATTATTATTATTATTATGTATTTAATCGGCTAGGCATGCATGGCTCAGAGCGTACTGAAGTAACATTGAATAACAAGTATTAATGAAATGTATCGTAATCAAATCGCGGGGGGCGGGGGTGCTAGTTTGGCTCAGTGCGTTCGCACGCTTTCATTGGCCGAGCAAATGGTGGCGGCGGGTGGGGGGGAGGGGGTTTCCTTGGTGCCGCGTGTTCTCACTCGTAAGAGCTTTTTAGCTATTTGGATTTTCTTCATTTTTCTAAAGTGAATTTTCTCCAATTTTAAAGGAAAGTTTCTCCAGGCCCGAAGAGTGCTATAACGAAGCGGCGTTATTACGCGGTCGTGCCAAGCGAGGGTCTGCCTGTGTGGTCCAAGTGTAACAGTTTGTTTCGGTAAGGATAAATCATGCGTATGATGACACCACCAAGTGACACGTGTGTGGAATTTGCTGGGCTGCAGTAAATAGCACGAGGAGATTGCGCAATATTGGCATGTCGATAGCTGGGTCGAAATTGGTTGAGTGCAAGTGGACGGTACTTCAGGCCCCGTCCCTATCATGCGCCACACGTGGGCAGACACGTGACTCAAAAGTCAGAGTCATGTGGCACGCTGGGAGAGGGGGCTTGGGGCATGGGTGTGCTGTGTCCGCAGGCCGAGTCATTGTCACGTTACAGGCCCTGTTGGTGTGCGAATAAACGGGCCTCATCGTGGTTCATCTCCATCA